CTGGGGGCCTGTGGGGGGGGGAATGAAAGGGTCACCAGGAGGGGCTGTGGGGGGTGTAAGAGAAAAACAATCATAAAAAAACAGATGAACCTTAAAAAGCAGATGACCCTTTTCCCCTAAGATTGAAGATCGCCTCTTGCTGACAGTAAGCGAAATGTGTGCCTTTTGCAAAATGTGCAAACCGCAGAACCAGTCTCAACCAGAACAAGCTTGTTCTATATCGTATTTTGTAACTTTGTAAGAGAAAGTGGAAAAACCCAGATGCGCGCGCAACAATGTAATGCTTAATGTATAAATACCAAGCTGTAAACTCATTTCGGGGGAACTCTCTGTCCTTGTGACACTGAGTGGCCCCTCTGCAGAGCAGTAAATTTACATGCTGACACTCCCTCGTTCTGTGCTGAATTGATCGCGGCTAGGAACGAGCCAGAGACGGGATGTGGCCAGTGCTCTTTGGTGTATGAGCACCCCCTTTCGGTGTATGGGTGCTACGCAGTAGCTGGTCAACCCTTTTCCCCAACGGGGAGGAGTGAGGGGCAGCAGTAGGTCTAGGGGAGTGTGGGGGGGAGTGAGTGGCACCAGCAGGTCTGTGGAGGGTGGGGAGTGAGGGGTACCAGCAGGTGTTTTTGAATAATGTTTCACAATGTGAAATTTCTGCAAAGCTTAACTTAGTGCATGGGGTGACTGGCAAAGGAATGGAAGCAAACTTTGTAAATTGTCGTTGTACATTATTTACAGTCATATAAATTAAAACGACATTCTGTTGTTCTAAATTTATACATATTGTCCTAAGGGGAAGTTTGATCAGCAGCAAAACACCTTTCCTGTTTAATACATCTTTAGTTAGTAATTAGTAATTATATATATATATATATAAAATAGTTAATATAGGGTTGAACTTGCATTAAAGTATAAAAGATTTGTAAGAGTGAATTTGATTTTCAACTTTACACAGTAACCCTTTAAGGCATTGAATTTTCTATATACTTCTTTTTGTACAAAAATAAGTGATGTTTGCAGAAAAAATTCCTGGAAATACTCCCCATTTAGAATTTTGACCTTTCTTTTTGAGTTGCCTTTAATATAAAGCATATGGTTCAGGTGTGATTTCATTTCAGCCATCAGTTAGAACCTTATTTGGACTGTCATCTTTTAAATTTTAGTTTCTAAAACTGCTTGTAATCAAGTTGAGTTTCTCGAGAGGTAAGTGGATGATGTTACTATGTATTGGTGCTAATCTTTTGAGTTGCATAACTAGCTCATTTAATAACCTTTATTGACTGCAAATAGTTTTTATAGTTATATAGGTACTCTGTCTTCTCACTTACTTAAAGAAGGAACAACAAATGCCCCTATAGCCAATAAGAGTTGAGAAAAATGTGAATTTGCATAAATAATACCACATACATTGTAAGTTGTAAAGGAAAATATCTGATGAATTTGTCTGATGTCTAAAATCTTCTTAATGTATCCAGACCCCAGGACTTGAGACTGAAATTGCTTGCTTGCCTGAACAAATTGGGACAACATTATGCTGAAGAAATGAAGGTAAATACAATATTCTGGATCAGGTGTTAGGTACTAAACTTTCAGGGTTTTATGTGTTCTTAATTTCTCAGATATGGTGGGGCAAACAACCTTTGAATATTTACACTGAAACAAATAGCCTGTGATTTTTATTGTTGGGGTGACAATATTCAAGTGATTTAAAAATAGGCACAGGAAGATACAGGAATACTGAGTTCCAGTTCTATACTTGCAATATTTTGCAGCAGAAGCTTTTCCAGTAAGTGAAATAACATTTTTAACTTTTTCAGGTCCTATTTGCTACTGTATTACAAAGTGTGCTTAGGGGATGTCTGCATAGCAAAATAAATGTGCACTTTCAGCATGTGTTAACTGAATGGACCTAACAGATTCAAGGTGGATACTCGCCAATTTCACGGGCAGAATGCGAAGGGCTCTGCAGCCATTTCATGGGCAGAACATGGTGGGCTTCCCCATGCTTCTGATTGACCAGAGCGATCTGGTGGCCCCACCCTTCACCACTGAGACTCAAGGCCCTCGGAACCCTCAGAAAATGCCACCTCTTAACTTTCACTCATTTTTTGACTATGGAAAAATAATAGAAATTTGTCTGTTACAAAGAACTAAGAAAGACCACAACAGGTCACAATGCTTTTAACACTCTGGATTTCTATTTGAAATCTCTGAGGTTTTTTTGTGAATTATGTGTAGGTAGTTGCATACCTAACTGTGCTAATATGGTATCCTTTATCAAGGAAAGGTACTAACTCTTTTCATGCCCTTTGTTGGCCATGTTTGAACCTTAACTTCATTACTGTTTGAAATCTTTTAGGTTTTTAATGATCCTATTCATGGTCATATTGAAATACATCCTCTGCTCATTCGAATCATCGATACGCCTCAGTTTCAACGTCTGCGATACATTAAGCAACTGGGTGGCACTTACTTTGTTTTTCCAGGAGCGTCGCATAACCGCTTTGAACATTCCCTGGGGTAAGGCAGTATTCATTTATATGTAGATCTCTTCCATTTTTATTCATTTCTGTCTGCCTCTTTTGCCTGTGTGAAGTGACTGCAGGCACCAGTCTTGCCTCCACTGATGTTAAAGGACAGTTCTACAAATATTTTTGGCAGTTTTGAATTGGTCTGTATCTTACAGAAGTAATTTTGTTGTCTGCTCTTCATCAATACTCAGACTGGAGCTTTTCAACATATCACCCTTGTCTCATTAAAACAGGGGTTGGCAACCCCCAGCACACATGCCGAGCATGGCACACGAGGCCATTTTGCTCAGCATGCCACAGCCAGCAGGGGAGACACCAGGATTGCACTGCCTCAGGCCACTCCCTCACCACCTACTCCAAGGCACACGTGAACGTGCCAGTACAGAGCTGATGCCTGGGCTTCGGAGTCTGGCACAGCTGTTTGCAGCCTCCTGGCTACAGCCAGCCCTGGCTCTGGGTAGCAGCTGCCAGGCTACTCCCAGCAGGGCTCCCAACCTCCACGTGTGGCTCCCAGATGGAGTGCTGAGGAGCCCCACAGAAGTGGAGGCACAGAGCCCACCTGGATGGCACGTGACTTCTGAAAGCCCACACCTCCTGCTGGCTTTCAGAGGGGCAGTCACCGCAGACCAGTAATAATTGTTTTTTGGAGGGGCCACATGGGCAGATAGAATGGCTTGGCAGGCAGTAACCATTTCTTCTGGGACATCATGAAGTGTCTGAATGGTTGTGTCTGAACATTGTCCCAGAAGAAGCTGTCAAATAAGTACTGCAGGTATTCCACAATGTACCACTTCTACCCCAGTCCTGGCTCATCCTGAATTTGGGGCAGCCACCGTAGCCCTGGTGGCTGAATTGTACTGCTTGGAAATGACAGGGTAGAGATCATCTCCCCCACCTATTAATTGCCCTCCATGGTGACTTGCAGCCATTCTGTGCTCACTAGCCCTTCAGGTCGCATTGGAGTCAGATCCATCTGAACAACCGGGGACACAGCCACCCACCAGACATCTGTCAATTGGTGATATCCTCAGACCCATCCACCTGCATGCGTCCATCCACTGCATTTTTCAACAATGGCCTTTCTGTCCACATCCAGTGACTTCTGGACCTGGAAGGAAATAGTGGAGAGATGAGGAACCACCGTGCTCTTTGTTCAGGCCACTGAAACCAGGCAGTCTTTGAATCAATCACCTTGGAAATGACAGCCTGTGGATATGACCACGATTGGAACCAATGCTCGTCCAAAGACAAGGTACTGATGCAGTGGCATATGAAGGTCCAGCATGCAAGGTTACATGCACCTTCTATGAGGAACAATTCTACATCCTCATAGCAGATGACGCATTTCTGCTTCTCTGCATCATGACTGCAACACACATTGCCCAAGACAGTGATGCAGATTCTGATGCCAGGAAGGACACAGCCATCATAGATGACCACAGTGATGACCTAGAAGATGTACAAGGTCACTGTCTTCCAGGCTGTCTTAGAGAGCTGCACAGACTTGGAGATGGACTTTGACTCAGACAGCTAGCAGCCTTCCCAGGTATGCAGCATCATGGCTGGCCCTGTTGCCTTGGATCAGCAGCACTGGCTCACAGCCTGCTCTGGCCTATGCAAGGTCCTTGTCAGCAGCAAAGCTGCCCTCCTCCTCATCCCAGAAGGGATTAGAACTTCAAAAGGAACCACCTCACAACTGTGAACAGTAAACATGCAAAGCCAGGGCACCATTGTGAAATGCAGTTCACAGGTAGGGTAAGGAAAGGCTGGGGTACAGCTGACGGTAGATAAGAAGCTGAAATGCTCCCAGTGGAACCCCAGGGCCAAGCTTGGATATTGCCTCACCATGTCCCCTTTCCCACTCTGGCACGCATTCCATTCCATTGTGAAGGTATGTTTTAGGGTAGTACCAGATCAATTAGATTGGATGATTAAGATCCTCTACTATTTTGTGGAGGTACATCCATAACAGGTTACAGGGGTGGGCAGATGAGAACAGGATGGGTTTCAACACTGACAAGTGCAGGGTACTACCCCTGGAGAGGAAGAACCAGCAGCATACCTACAGGCTGGGGAACTCCCTTCTCGTCATTGCAGAGGCAGAAAAGGATCTTGGCGTCCTTATTGATGCCAAAATGAACATGGGCCGACAGTGTGGGGAGGAAGGCCAACCGTATCTTGTCATGCATCCACAGATGCATCTTAAGCAGGTCCAAGGAGGTAATCCTCCCCCTCTATGTGACACTGGTCAGGCTGCAGTTGTCACATAGAGGGGGCTTCACTCCCAGAACTTCAGATACAGCCCTGGATCATGCCAAGGAATACAGTGGCTTGTCCAGTCACTGCTACCTCCCCTTTTTCTCACAGCTTGAGATGCTGATTTAGTCAGTGCAATCACAGAAAATGGTGGTTTATCCAATCCTCATTCCACTCCTCCATCTCAGGGCGCAGGTCATTCCGTTCAAGTCCTCTTTACCTTCTCCCCACCACATGTATGAAAGTAGCTGCAATGGTTTTCACTCCCATGTAAACACCTCATTAGGGCTACTAACAGGCATCGCCCTTCCTATGGAAAAAATGTTTTCTCATGTCCTCATCACTTGACACAGTACGAAACCCCAGTAAGATTTGCAGGATAAGAGATACTAATAATTTGTTCTCTGCTTTTATGTTGAACTTCTAAATCTTTGTCTTATGATATCATGGGACAAGTGGGCTGATCAGTCCTCCAGGCATCCCACAGGCACCACTTCAGCCCCAGTCCAAGCCCCTCTTGATCTGTTTGTGGCCCTGAGCCTCATCGCAGAACTCAACTTCCCAGAGATGTCAGGCCCCTGGTGTCTGCCCCAACCTATTAATCACCCTGCATGGTGACTTGCCAGCTATTTCACGCTCACTACCCACCCGAGATTAGCATTGGGGCATGCACTGAATGCCAGCAACCCCTGGGGACTTCTGTTCACCTAACCCATCTAGTTCTCAGGGAGGTCATTGGACCCACTCACCAATTGCTGAGGCAGATTCATACTTCCATATCCCAACACATCCATCCATCTGCCCTCTACCACGGCATTGCAGTATGATGAGTGCAGTGTCATGAACAAGCGTGGCAGCAGCTGGACCAGGGAGGCGGTAATGGATCTCATCACCATCTGGGATGAGATTAAGAACCAGTGGATTCTCCAGTTAAACCATCAAAACAGGGCAGTCTGGGAAGAAGTCCCAAAGGAAATGGCAGCCTAGGGACATGACTGTGACTGGGCCCAGTGTCAGAACAAGTGCAAGGTAATGAGGCAGCAGTTTGAGGCCATGGAATGGCAACTGTGTATCAGGCTCACCTAGGGTCCCATGCACCCAATATGTGGAACTGTCCTGCATCTTCACAGTTAACAACATTGGTCATGTCTGAAAATTTCATGAATATGGTGGCCCACACCGCTGCCCAGGACTGCAATGAGGACTTTGATATGACTGTGATCAAAGACCCATAGCCCTCAAACTGGACTGCAGACTTAACCTGGCCATCCACCTGAGCCACATGGACCTTCCGGCTATCCTGATGAGCTGTACACACTCTGAAATGGACCCGGTCTTGGACAGTGAGGGTCTGGAACTCTACCTGCCTTTCACCCTTGTTCAGCATCTCAGCTGGCCATTTCCAGACATGGACCCAGTGCCCCAGAAGACACAACCCACAACAGGACAAATCTTGGGGATGATAAGTGGCAGTCACCACTTATGAACTGTCATTGTGTTGTAGATTCCTTTTAAGTTAGGTGGTGATTGACACCATTTAAGGTAATTGCCCACCTAATGCTCATTCATCCACCAACCAAAAACACAGAAGCAGTAGTGCACAGCTATGGGGACACTCCCTGGTGTACCTGACCTCACACCCAGAGCCTGAGATAAGAGACTAGTCCTGGCTTCACACCCAAGGCAAAGAACTACTACTACAATGTACCACCCCATTTGCCATAACCTTCAGCTTTTTGTCTTGATTCCTACCCTGAGAAAGTAGCTGCCATGGCCTTCACTTATGTACAAGCAGGTTGTTATAGAGAGATATGGGCACTTTATTACAAACAATACATTGCAAGCCAGTGAACAAGGAAAGGAGAAAACAAGTGGCTTTTAAATCATCCAGTCTTTTGCTTGATGCAGACCACCATGGCAGTTCAGGGTTCCCCTGTACATGGCCACAGCATTACTTGTACTGTCCTGGACTCTTCTAAATGCTAATGCCAGACTTCAGAGTCAGTCCAAACTCCCTCTCGTCCCCCATCCTAGCAAACTGAGTTTGTGTAGTCCAGGACCATTTCACAGAGGTCAGGTATGGGTCATGGGGTGGGCTGGGGATACTGAGTCCATGAGGGTAGGTATGGAGAGGTGGGGAAGAGGTAGTGGTACACCTTCCAGCCCTAAAAGTTTGGGGCTTCTTCCCCACGATCCTTCAGCACACCATATACAGCTCTCCTACCATTTTGGGCTCTTCACAGCAGCAGTCTGCTGATACTCTAAAGGCAGGAGCTGTTGGGGGAGGGGTTGCTTTCTCTGTTTGCATTCTCAAGCTGTGTGTTTTGAGCCATTCATCTTGTCTGCAGCCTTTGCCACTATTGGCTGACAGTCAAGCTAGACAGATCGATCACACCCCTTAAGGTGTCCCAGTCCAACTGTGCAAGGTGGTTGTAGCAGTAATGAGGTACACTATTAGGTGTTCCCTGACGTTCCAGGGAAGAGCCAAATGCACTGAAGAGCTATTGTAGCATGTCTGCCCTCTTCACAAGTCAAAGTCATCTAGGACCATCATCTCTTGCAGTAAGAGTTAGGGGTGCACCTGTATAATGGTTGGCCATTGTATTGGCACTGATAAAAGGAGGAATGGTGTTATCAGCTATTGGGTTATTTGGTTGTTGTAGACAACAATTACAGCCAATAATAACAGCTAGAGCACCCTGGTGAGTGTAATTTGGTTCCTGTGCCTTGCCGCTGGCCTGAGCCTGCAGCAGACTATATGTCCCAGTGAGCAGGGGTGGGCACCAGGAAGCAGTCTTGGGGTGCTGCACTCAGCAACAAATGAACCATTACTGTCTTCTGCTGCTGCCATGGCAGTGCTGCGTGTGCAGCAGGGTCCTAAGCACTGGGGCTGCCATGGAGATGTTGGGCTGCTTGCAAGTGGGGTAAGGTGCCGCCTGAGGGACATTCCACTCATAGATTTAATAGATTTCGAGGGTTGGAAGGGACCTATTAGATCATTGAGTCCGAACCCCTGCTCTGGGCAGGAAAGAGTGCTGGGGTCAAGTAACCCCAGCCAGGTGCTTGTCTAATCTCCTTTTGAACACCTGCAAGGTGTCTCTAGAGGGTTATGGAATAGAGAAAGATCCCACACAATGTACTGATTCATTTGATGCGCCTGCCTGGGGGAGTATTTGGTTGATTGCACGATTTCACAATGATTGCACACTTAATTCATACAACACAGTTTTATTTTAGAATTCCTTGCTATGCATATAACACTGCTTAGCTTTAAGAAATCCTTCCCAAACAATGCTATAAGAATTAGTATTACAAAAACAACTACAATTACAAGTAAAGGTTATTTCTCATGGTATACTTACAATCCTAGAATTCCTAGAAACCAAATCCCCAAGGATATTTTCATGATTTAGTTATGGTTTTAGGGTTGGTCTCAGCAGTGATAGGAACAAGTCTCTTTCCTTTGGTCCCATTCGGGTGCTCTGCGGCTTCAGCGTGAATGGGAGTTCTTGTTCACGGAGAGGGTGGTTCAGGTGATCAGTCTGATGCGGCCTACGCTTGTGATTCTTCCTGCAAGTGAGGTTACCTCCAAATTGGGACTGTAGGTTACAGTTTTTATTGGGTGAGTTGCTGTCTTGGGCCCCTCCTACCCAAACCTGTCACTACTCCCAAATTTGGGCTTGGATCTTTTACCCAACAGATTCCTTTCCTGGGTCTTCTTTGGGAAATTTTCCACATCACCGCTGTGACCTCTTGCCACCCCCCTTCCAAAATCCCCTAGGTTTCGATCTCTTGGAATGTTTGCCCAAGGGTCACTTTTAGGTTAACTTTGTTAAAGGCCTCTAGAGATAATTTTCAAAAAACCAAGACATTCAACACGTTCGCTGCAAGGCCTCTAAAGATAAAATTCAGTATCGAGACATTTACCACATAGGCAAAAACAAGCAATGACCATAGATCAAAAGATGAACCTTGCCTTTTTTTCTAAACTGGCAAATGGGTATTTATTACAAGCATTCAAACTATTATATTCAATATGACACAAGGCAGGGGAAAGCGCCACCCTCCCTTCAAAGCCCATTCCATATTTTGGCAACCCTCACCGTAAAGAATTTCTTCCTGATATCCAATCTAAATCTACTCTCCTTCAGTTTATGGCCATTGTTTCTAGTAACCACAAGGGGCGCCCTGGTAAACAGAGCATCCCCTATTCCCTGCTGACCCCCGCTGATGAGTTTGTAGACAGCCACAAGAGCTACACTCTTCTCTTGTGAAGGCTGAAGAGATTCAGGTCCCTCAGTCTGTCTTCATAGGATCTTACCTGCAGGCCCCAACCATATGAGTAGCCCTCCTCTGAACCCTTTCCAGGTTATTCACATTCCTCTTGACATGCAAAGCCCAAAACTGGATGTAGTACTCCAGTTGCGGTCTCACCCACGCCGCATAGAGGGGAAGTATCACCTCCCTAGACCTGTTCGTGATGCACCTACTAATGCAAGACAGAGTGCAGTAAGCCTTACTTATTACCTCATCACACTGGCGACTCGCATTCATTTTTGCATCGACTATGACTCCGAGATTCCTTTCCACTGCTGTGTTACATAGAATGGTACTTCCCAGTCTGTAGGTGTATTGGTGATTCTTTCTCCCCAGGTGCAGCACTTTGCACTTATGTTTTGTTAAATTGCATCCTATTCTGATCCACCCACTTCCCCAGTCTGTCCAAATCCTCCTGAATTAACTCCTTACCCTCTAGTGTGTTTACTGTACCCCATAGTTTGGTGTCAGCCATGAATTTGGACAGAGTGCTTTCTACACCCTCATCCAAATCACTGATGAAGCTATTGAATAGTACTGGTCCAAGGACTAAGCTTTGGGGGACCCCACTGCCCACATATCTCCAGGTAGAAACAGACCCATCCACCACCACTCTCTGAGTGCGTCCCATAAGCCAGTTTTCCACCCACCTGACTCAAAAAATCCACGTCACAGCTAATTAGTTTACTTGTAAGAATTGGGTGCGACACTGTGTCGAAAGCCTTTTTAAAATCCAAGTAAATAACATCTACCTCTACTCCTTCATCTAAGCACTTTGTGACCTGTTCATAAAAAGAGACCAGGTTAGTCAGGCAGGATCTGCCTGCTATGAACCCATGCTGGTTGCCACTTAACTTTGTATTACCCACTGGCCCCCCGCAAATGTGATCCTTTATGATTTTTTCTAAGGTCTTGCCAAGGATAGAGATGAGGCTAACCAGCCTATAATTACCCGGGTCCTCCTTCCTCCCCTTCTTGAAAATAGGGACCACATTGGCCCTTCTCTAATCTTCTGGGACCTGTTCTGAGTGCCACAAGCACTCAAACAGTTGTGTCAGTGGTTTCACTATGACCCCAGTCAATTCCTTTAGTACCCTTGTGTGACAGGGGGCAGCTCTGAGGGCCAAGTCTCATGCCGGCCCGCCCACCTGTCTCTATGGGGTAGTCCGCCCAGTCTTGCCTGCCATGAATTTGCTGTTCTCAAAATGGGTGATAAAATGTGGGAGACTGTCCATTACATGCATCAATGCCAGGGGGTGCTGTCTGTGGTTGTGATCTCCCCTACACTGCAGCCCATGCCTCGCAGATGTCATCACAGTTCTTACAGTCTCCACCCCCACACTGGACCCCATGATCCTTCAGTCTGGACCCCAACTGGATCCCTCCTATCAGGCAGCCTACTCTGCCCTCATTCTGGGCTACCTGGCTCCCTCCCTTTTGACCCTTCTGGTCCTGGCCCCAGCATTGACCAGTCGAGGGTGCCTCAAGTCATGCTTCTTGAGCATCTAGCCCACTCTCTCACACAGGTCCGCCTTCTCGGCTTTACTATGGGGTGACCCACCTGGTTGTGGGGGCTGGGGTTATTAAGGCACCCCTACCTGCCTTTCACCACAGTGGTAACTGGTCTGGCATTTCCTTGGGAAATGGCCCCACCAGGCCACCCATCCCCAGCAGGGTGCAGTTTTAGGTCATGCCCAGGACCACAAGAGCCTCCTAGCCATCCCCATAAGCTCTTCCTGGTTGTTCCTGCTGCAGCTCAGCTAGGCGATGTTTCTGCCTTAGCTGGCAGCAGCAGACTGCAGCCTTTATATATTAGGTTCTGAAGATGGCTGCCACCATTAGGCATATGCTGGATGCCAGACCCAGCATTTAAAGTGGCAGGTACCAATAGTGTCCTGCCACACCTTGGGTGAAGATCACTGGGGCCTGCCAACTTAATACGTCCAAGCCCTCCAAGTGCCCCTTCACTCCAATTGATTGGTATCTCTCTCAAGCTAGACAAAAGTCTTATTGGGAGGTGTGTTTTTCTCTGTGACCAGGAACACAGATGCAAAGAAATTGTTTAAGAGCTCAGCTTTGTCCATCCTATCTGTTACAAGTTGCCCTAGTCCATCCTATATTACCCTGTACCCTATGTTACCCTGCGCCACCTTTTTGCTCCCTATGTACTTAAAGAAGGACTTTTTGTTACCCTTAATCTTAGTTGCCAGCCTGAGTTCTGTTTCTGCTTTGGCCTTCCTCACTGTTTCCCTGCAAGCAGGAGCCAAGCAGGTATACTCCTCCTTGGTGGCTGCCCCCTGCTTCCTCCTGCCTGTAAGCCTCTCTTTTCCCCTGTAGGCTCTCCTGCGTTTCTCTGCTCAGCCAAGAGGGTTGTGTACTAGGATGGTACCCTTCTGTGCCTGCAGGATCAGTCCCTTGAGGAATTCCCACCCTTCCTGAACTCCCAACTCACCAATGTTATTACCCCTCAGTCTCACTCTAACTAATCTCCTGAGCTCGTTGAAGTTGTCCTTCTGGAAGTCGAGCACTTCTGCCCTACTAGTTATCTTTCCCACCTTACGCCGGATAGTGAATCCTATCAACAGGTGGTCACTATCTCCTAGGTTACCTTGTACCTGCAGATCCCCCACCAAGTCTTCTTCTGTGGCCAGCACCAAGTCAAATAAGGCATTTCCCCTAGTGGGACTGCATACCTCCTGTGTTAGGTGCAGGTCCTGTATGCAGGTGAGAAACCTATGTGAACAGGCAGACCTGGCCGACTGCTCCTCCCAGCAGATGTCTGAGTAATTTAGGTCACCCATGACAACCAGGTCCTTTGAACATGCTGCCTTTGAGAGCTGTCTCAAGAATTCTAGTTCTAAAAAATTTTCTTGCGTGCCCCTGCCAGGGGGACTCTGGGCCAACACAAAGGCTTGAATTTACAACCCTCTGGCTTTGTACCCAGCAGGCAACCCCCTAAGCCAAGAGACTGGGCAGCTATGCCAGGCACCATGTACCTTTGCAAAAGTGGCTGCAGGGGCTTGGCTGCATGGGGCCGACTAGCACTGAGGCAGCAGTATGCTCTGGGGCTCCAAATGCACCTGGTGCTGCTGTCCATGCTAGTCTGCCCTGACCTGCCCTGGATGGCAACATGGGCTGCGTGGGGAGCAGAGATGTGGGTAGGAGCTGTGGGTGAGGGGGCGACATGTGGGAATAAGGTGGTCACTGCCTTCCTCAAAAAGTTAATTTATGGGGAAAACAAAAAAAAAAGGTTTATTTATGTAAATAGTTTAAAATGCTTTGTATTATTAGTAAATATTGGTTATTGGATTGGCATTGGCCAATATGGTTGGTTAATCATCAGCTATCAGTATCCACTAAGAAAAGCTTTATTGGTGCACCCTGAGTAAAAGGCAAGCAAAGACTAGTAGACTGCTTTGTGCAGCAGTGAACAGGTTCCACCTCTGCCATGGGGTCAGATGGATCAGGATAACATTGGCTGAAGTGCTGGCATCCTGTCTTTACAGACAAGGGACATTAGGTGATCCCAAGGTAACAGACCACCTTGCCCACCTCAACTGGCCCACTGTTTCACAGCCCTTGTGGGAGTTAGAGGCCCTTGCTTTACCCCATGGCTGTTTATCCTTGGCTGCCCAAGCATGCACCACAGTTCTTCAAGCCCTTTGGGAGCACAGGGGAGAGTGAACTTACCAAGTTGACAGTCTTCAGGGCAAATGAGCTTACCCACTTCTGGGGTGTTCATCATGCTATCAAGGCAATAGCAATGAATACAGTGACCTCTTGTTCATCCTCTGCTTTGAGGCCTGATACATGCAAAGGCCAGTGATGGCACCTAAGGAATACATGATAGCCACAGAATGAGATCAGAGACCTAGAAAGCTTCCAGGCCTCTGCCCAGGCCTGCACAAAGATGCCTTCATCTTTGTGAAGACCCATGCCTGCACAAAGATGGACATGCTGGCTGCTCTGGCACCAGCCACTCCTGGGTTGCTGAGACCAGGCAATGGAGAAAGTACAAATATACCACTGCCAGCACCTGGTCATGATCAGACATGGGTTCAAGTTGCAGCATACTGCAATGTGGCTTGCCAGGCAGCATGCAGAGGCCAAAGAACACTGTGCAGCCTTTGCTGAATGTACAAATATGATGCTTAGGGAAGGGAGTCTGTGAGGTTGGAGCAGGATGTGTCTGCCTTGAACCTGCAGATAGAGGGCAACCTTGCTGCCCTCCACATTGCCCTGCAGTTTAACACACAAATGGGACTGTCCTGTGGTCCCCGGATGTATGTGTTGCCACCAAGCTTTGCTGTCCCACAGGGCTCCCCCTTAGCAGGCGCAAAAGCAAACACTCCTCAGCCCTCAGGCATGCAGACCTTGCAGTCAGAACAATCATCGAATGTTTGCTGCCACCACCTGGGGGCAGCAAATACCATTTGCATGTGCTCCATCTATGCCAGACTCACAATGTGCTCATGTTCATAGGGGAGTGATGGACATTTATGCACATGAAACACCTGTGGTGGTCCACTACAGCCTGACACATGATTGAGAAATAGCCTTTCTGGTTGATGAATTCATGGCAGTGGTACACAGGGGAAAGGATAGCAATGTGTGTGCTGTCAGTGATCTCAATGAAATTGAGAACCCCAGGTTAGTAAACTCGTCTACAACCTCCTGTGAGTCAGCAAGGCATATGATTCACAGGGCCATTGCCTGTTGGATCACCAAACACAATGCCCATAGTGCCTTTCTAATTATCAGTTTGGCCACTCTAAAATGGTTTGCCTTGGACTGGAGGCTGTCTGGGATCATGAGCTTCCATATAGCAATGGTAGTGCACTTCTCCACAGAAAAGAACATTTGCATAGCCTTTGTCCACTGCTATACGTATGGGCCAAGCTCAATACAGATCTCCATGAAGGTGCCCCTGGACATACATTCATGCGCTCATTGTTCCAAGTGTCTATGACTACCTGCTGCCACGAGTCGCTCATCTCCCTCTGGCCTATAAATGCCACTTCGTGGCTTGGAGTTGCTCCCACGTCTGCCTGGCTACAGTGTGTTGACCTGCGGTGCAAACATCTTCAGGCTGACTTCTGCTATGGATTAGAAGCCAGATGTAGCCATGGACTACCCATTGTTTAGCAACAAGCATGTACACAAAGAGCTCCCCACAAATACGGATTCTTCATTCTTAGTGCAAATGGAAAAAGTCATAGCAGCCATCAGACAGCATGCTGGAGTTGCCTTTTCCACTCAATCTCTTACAAGTTCACAACACTGGGCCAGCAAGGTCTGCAACATGATGACTATGTATGGTGCATAGCGGTCAATCACAATGGAAGCTCTGGGTCATGGTCAGTGGTGGCAGTACAAATGTAACAGACATACAAACATGGGCATGAACTATACAGCGAATCACACCAAAATCCCTTCCACAAAAATTTCACCACCCAACCACAGTTTTTGAATAACGAGTGGGCTCTTTCATAGTTTCATAGTTGTTAGGGAACTAGTTGTTGAAAGGACCTTACAGGTCATCTGGTCCAGTCCCCCTGCACTTGAGCAGGAAAGACTGCTGGGATCATGCCACCTCTGGGGGGCGCCTGTTCCAACCCCTTGGCACATGACTTGTAAAGAAGTTTTTGCTTATGTCTAGCCTGAAATGATCTTCAGTCAATTTGTGCCCATTTTTTCTTGTCCTCCTCTCAGGGGCCTTGGTTGCTTGGTGGTGGCAAAGTCAAGGGAACCCACAGACACTTGGCCAGTGACAGTTATGCTGGGATGTGTGCTCTCAAGCCACCTCCTGGGAGAAAAGTGTGGTGGTGTACTCAGCTCCTCTTTAAACCTGCTTGGAAGGCCAGCATATGACTATGTCAATCCTGTGACTTCTCCCTTCTAGGACAACCCCTATAAGTATGCTGTGGGTTTTTTTTCCCAAGGTGGAGTACCTTACATTTATCTGTATTGAACGTCATCAGGTTTGTGTCCCTCTGCTTACTAAGTTTATCCAAATTAGCCTGGATCACTAGCCTGTCCTTAGGTGTAGACGCTGTGCCTCAAAGTTCAGTGTCATTGGTGAACTTAGCCACTGCGCTTCTTACACCAATGTCTGCATCGTTGATAAAGATGTTAAAGGGAACTGGTCCAAGGACAGAGTGGATTTGCTGCCATGGACCACTACGCTCTGGGTCTCACCTCGGAGCCAGTTTCCCAGCCATCAGACTGTTGGTGTGTTTTCCATGAGGAGGTCATGGGACATCAAATCAAAGGCTTTTTTAAAGTCCAGATATATGACGTCAGTCTCTTCTCCCTTGTCCAGGTGATATGTCACCAGGTCATAGAAGGGGATGAGATTGGTCAGGCAAGACCTACCTGCGACAAACCCGTGCTTGGTATCCCTCAGGATGTTTCCCTCAGCCAGTTTATCCAGAAGGGTCTCCTTGATAATTTTCTCAAGAATCGTACCAGGGATTGAGGTCAAGCTGATTTGGCTTGTAATTCTCAGGATCTACTTTCTGCCCTTCTTGAAGATAATCTTGAAAATATTTTTGCCAATGGTTGGGCTATGACACCTGCCAGCTCCTTGAGTACCCTAGAGTGTAATGTGTCAGGACCAGCTGACTTGAAGGTGTCCAGTCTCTCAAGGTGATCCTTTGCAGGATCAACAGTAACAAATGTAATGTCTGTTTATAGTCTAAGAAAGATAAAAATAATTTATTGTAAAGCAATGAATGGTCAGCAGGCAAAAATTAGTTGCTTTTAAATATTCAGTGCAGCCACCTGGTCAGTGCAACCCGCACTGATCATGCGAGTTCCCTTTCTTAAGTTATTCAGAGCACTTCTACTCCTTTCACCCATCAAGCACATTTTACATAGTTGTGGGTTCTTTCACAGCTGATGCTGATCCCAGACCTGCTGTTTGGTATCTGTGGTCCCTGCGTGTCAGCATCCACAAGCAGAGGATAGGTGGGACAGATGATTGGGCCTCCCTGTAAATCAAAGTACCCCTAGTCCATCTGCCATCAAACACAGTTTGGACAGTAGTGGGCTCTTTCACAGCTATGAGATGTGATAATAAGTACAGGCATACCTCATTTTATTGTGCTTCGCTTTATTGCACTTTGCAGATATTGCGTTTTTTATAAATTGAGGCAAGACCCTCCACCAGCAAAAAGATTATGACTTGCTGAAGGCTCAGATGATGGTTAGCATTTTTAGCAATAAAGTATTTTTTAATTTAAGGTATGTACATTGTTTTTTTAGACATAATGCTATTGCACACTTAATAGACTACAGTATAGTATAAACATAACTTTTATATGCACTGGGAAAACAAAAAATTTGTGTGACTCGCTTTATTGCGATATTCGCTTTATTGCGGTGGTCTGGAACCGAACCCACAATATCTCCGAGGTATGCCTGTATACTCAATCCTTGGGCTCCAATGGTGGGGTGGGGTAGGGGTGAGTGGGAGGGAAGATGGATAACTCAGTCTTTAGTATTCTCAAGCAATACATTTTGAGTAGTGCAGTGCAGTGCAGTCCTAGTCTTTCTTGTGCTTGTGCTGGTGGTTTGTTATGTTAAGCTAGAGACAGGTTTTTGGTGGTTTTGGTCATGTCCCAGTGAACTGTGCCAGGTACTACTGGTAGCAGATAGTCATCTACCCCGTTTGACATTCCCTCATGTTCCAGGATAGGGCTCTGTGCTCTGCAGAGCCATGAAGGCATGTTTTTTCCTCTCTGGGAATCATAGTAATCTGGGACCACCATGTCCTGCAGTAACAGGACCCTAAAGATAGCTGGGCTTCCTTGTGGCACAACAGACAGGCCCTGCCTTTGTTGTGGGATCAGCCAGATTAGGGTCACATTGAACAGGGCAAAGACCTCCTGTAGGTTTAGGCAATGGCTGTTAGCTGGCTCCTCGCCAACCACTATTTCTGCCATCCTGTAACAGTATATGCACATTACAAACACTTAAGCAATTCACACTATGGTTATGCATTGTATTGGACTGGAACACAAACATTACAAAAAATAGTCTCTGCAGCAGCAGCTGGCTGCAGCAGCATTTGGCCCCAGTTTAAACTTTCCCTTCCTTTCCTCCCACACCAGGGGTAATAGGCCCATGAAGTATCAGAGTCCGTGAAATATCAGGGTCTGTTGGCACAAGCATCTTCTGTTGGTGATATGCCCACTCATCATTTCCTGGCCACTAGTCACTGCCTCCCCTTAATGCCTCCTAGGTCTGTGCTGGAATTGACCACAAGAGAGCTCAAGTTTGGATGACAATGTTTAATTAGGGATTATGAGGGAAGACCTCTCTACATATCCCCATATCTACCCTTTGTCCCAGAGTCTGGCAAAGTTGTCTGCCAGTGCATCTGGCACATACTGGCAGTTGATTAACCTTCATGGGACAACTGGTAGGCATGGTGCCCTTGGATGTTGGGGACTGCTCCACTTCAACGGTCAGTGGCTTGGGCATGGACTCTCCCTTTACTTCGCAGGTGTTGTGCAGGGTGCAGGTGGGGATGACCAATGAGGGCACATTGCTGTTAGTATCTAAGCACCTGCAGTGAGCCTTGAGGCACTAAAATGTACATTCCATGGCCATTCAGCAGCTGCTGAGCCAGTAGTTAAATAATTCCTTATGGTCATCCAGGTAGCTGTGAATCGGCTAGGGATGTAATGGGTAGGCAGGGTCCCCAACTAGCAACGGGGGTACAATCACTCCCTCCACTTTGATTGGCACACCAGTGGGAAACTCTCCTTGCTCTATCAGTTTTGGGAGAATGAAGATTGTCATGGACTGGAGACTGTTGGGGGTAATGAGCTTCCATATTGTGACGGCAGTGTGCTTCTCAGCAGACAAGGGTGCCCTCATCCTGGCAGTCTGCCACTGGTTGGGGGAAGCCAGCTCAGTGCAGATCTCGATGAAAGTGCCCCTAGACATATAGAAGTTCATCCACCACTGGTCATTGTTCCAGGTGGCCATGATAGTCTACTCCTACCAGTTGCTGCTTGAAATGCTGCTCCACAGTTTGGAGACACTCCCACATCAGCCCAGACATGTTGCGGCCAACATGTCTTTGGGGCAGCAGCTGCTGGCATGGAAGGTAAGCCAGATGTAACCATGGGTTTCCCTATGACTGACATCTGTCAGATGGGTGGTCATCATGGAAGGGTAACATATACATGCTGATCCTGTGACATTTTGGATTGGGGATAAACACGGAGCAACTGGTCCCACAACAAAAGTGACGTCTGTTCGTACCCAGAGTGAAATGTTTGGGACTGTTTACTTAAGCATTAAGGACAAGAGGGGCTGTGATTGAGATGATAATGAATAACATAGACATTCATCCTTATCCTTTTTGTACCACAAAAGCAAGTGATCATTCAATGATGTCAAGAGAGACATTTAAAGTGGATAGAAGGAATTCTTCTTTCATAACTAATAACTTGTGAAATTCATTGTCACAAGACAGCATTAAGTCCAGTCAGGAGTGAAAAATAAGTCTGATCTTCTAGTGGATAGGATTAATAATAGGGCATGTTTAAGACATATTTAAGGCAATTGCTTAGGCTGTGGTGGGGCAGGTGGGTCTGAGGCAGCACTCGGTTATGCTGGTGCTGCTGGTGAGTCCAGATCTGTACTATTGCCAGCTGAACTTTGATGACTGAGGATGGGGGCCCTCACATGTCCCAGTGGCAGTCATCCCTTGGGGGTGCCAATCAGGGTGACCACCACGGGTCCTGCGCTTTGGGGGGCCCCACGGACAGTGCTGTACAGGCACAACCACTTCATGCACCACCACCTTTGTGCTCAACCACCTCTCACCCCACTCCTGCTCTGCACAGGCCACGCACAGGCTGATATACCCCAAGCCCCACACACACTTAGGGTCAACTCTGCCCAGTGGCACCAGAGAGTATTCTCTTGAGATGCTGTACTGCTCTGCTTGTGCTGTTTCACAAATGGGAAACAGCAGAACAATTTAGTATTGCTGCTACAGGTAGGCCATAGGTATGCTAATTAGCACTACTGAGCAAATGTGGTTAAGCTACTTCTGTTCCAGAGCTAATGCTTGCATAGCCAACTTTTAGGGGTTACGTGCCCTGCAGTGTCCCTGGCAAGAGGACTGAGGAGGAGTGAGCTGTACAGGGGACTGGGGAAGAGTAGCTGTACCACCATCAGAGGGTACTGAACTGAATGGACACTTGGATTTGGAAATAAACACAGAAAATGTAACTAGGAGCAAGCTTATTTAGGTACTTGAAAGTGAGAGCAAGACTGTGATGTGGTAAGTGAGAAGAAACCACTTCAATGGTTTAAATTGGAGTTGAAAGAGGAAGTGGTGTGTTTGATGAACTGGAGTGGGGGAAAAAAATAGCTCAAAAAAGAAGTTACTGTTACCAAGGTATATTCTCATATGGTTAGGATAGTACTTTGGAAGTGTATATCATTTGGTTGTGAAATATCTTACTTTTCTCATTCAAATATTATTTTAAGCTTAGAAAAATAAACTGACACCTGTGACTGCATTGATACTCAGGTTTGCATGTATCTATTAGTGCACCGTACTGCACCAACATTTTTGTTTAACAGTAGCTATTAGTTTAACAATTGAATTGGCACATTTCTTGTTCATTCCACCTCAAATTGCTAACTTCATCCCATGTTTTCTGCTTGTAACAGTGTAGGATATCTGGCTGGATGTCTGGTACGAGCACTGAAAGAAAAACAGCCAGAACTGGAGATCAACCATAGAGACATTCTCTGTGTTGAGATTGCTGGGCTTTGTCATGATTTGGGTAAGTGACCTTTATGGCTTATCCATGCTTGAACATTACTGCAGTTTAATGCCTAGTCTGATTTGTAAAGCTCAGGAGTGGTATCTGATTAATTTCTTTTTTGGAAACTTATTTTGGAATAAAAGTACTCTCTTTCTGTTTAACTGATTAGCAGGGATCCAAGTTTTCCATTTCCTGTGGAAAAACATGGATTCTCTCCTTTAAAGGAGAAAAATCCAGGAAGCCATAGGTTTCCCCTTGCAGGCTGGCAGAATTCCAGCCTGCAAGGAGCTGCTTGGGGCTGGGGGGAGCAGGGGTGGGTGATTGGAGGCAGGGAACATCACATGTGTGGTGGGAGCAGCCCTGGCAGCTGGATACAGGCAAGTAAGTCTTGGGGGCGGGGGTTGAAGGGGCTTGGGGATTGTCCGGGGGCTGTATGTAGGACATATGTGTATGCATGTAGCAGGAGTGTGTGGAGGGGGTTATATGTGTGGTGGGGGGTGCCTGCTGGCACTCAGGGAAGGAGTTGGGGTGCTGGGGCTGTGGTGGGGCAGGTGGGTCTGAGGCAGCACTCGGTTATGCTGGTGCTGCTGGTGAGTCCAGATCTGTACTATTGCCAGCAGAGCTCACACCTGCCCCTCAAGCAGAGGAAAGGAATGGGGGGGAGGGGTCCTTTGGGTGCTGTGGAAAACTGCATGGCTGGGCCAGCAGTGCTGGGGCTGGTGCTCATGGGAGCACAGGCAGGGCAGCCAGGAGACACTGCCCCAGGGGGCAGGGTGGAAGCAGTGTCCAGACTGCCTGGTGCAGCACTGGGCCCTTCCTCCTTCCTCCAGCTTGTGCTGGGGCTGGATTTGCTCCTTTGCTGCCCACATGAGTTGGAGCTGCCGCAGCTGGAGCCACTGTGGTAAGGACAGAGACTGCCTGGAGTCCTTGCCCCTCCTGCTACTGCCTGCAGCATAGCCTAGGCCAGAGCTACACTCCTCTTCATGCTGCTGCTGTGAAGTGCAGTGCTGGTCCTCCCTGCTGCACCCCAGCTCCAGCCAGCGGTACAGAGCAGTGTGTGGTGCCCGAGCCTCTGCCTGTGCTTCTGCATGAGGTGCATTGTATGTACCTCATGCTGGAGGCTGTCTCCATTGTGTCCCTGCAGACCACCATCCTGTGAGTCCACATGGAGCTGGGTGGGGCAGGAGGCAGCTGGGGGCTCCCTCTGACAGATGAGGGGATGAGCGGGTTGTAAGTGAGGGCCACCAGCAGGGCTGGGAGGTGGGGGGCTTTGGGTTGGTAGTGAGGGGCACTGGCAGGGTCACGGGGCTGCGGGTCAGTAGTGAGGGGTACTGGCAGGGTGGCTCGAGAGTGAGGGTCGCTGGCAGGGATGGGAGGTTGCAGGTCAGGAGTGAAGGGCACCCTGAGGGCCAGGGGACTACAGGTCGGGAATGAGGAGCACTGGTGGGGACGGGGCTGTGGGTTGGAAGTGAAGTGTACCAGCATGGCTGGGTGTGCTGTGGTTTAGGAGTGAGGGGCAATGGCATGTCAGGGCTGCTCAGCACCACAAAGCAGTGGGGGTGACCACCCTAGCTGGACTCATGTCTTAGTGAGCGAAGGGGGCAGGGGGAGCTCTGATTTTCTATTATTAAACAAAATCAAACACTAAAACATTGGTATTTAGAATGAATTTTATTATAGTGATTGAGGTGCTGGTAGGCTTCCAAGTTGCTTTAAAATTGTAAATATATCAGTAAAACATTGTGCTCAACTGATACCTATATATATAGTGGCCTTTCATTTTAACTGCAGAAAAACACGAATTTTGTTTTTTTTTAATCAGAGCTTGCTTGTTTGCTTGC